TTTTGCGGTACGCGGGCCTCTCACTGTTGTGGCCTCCCCCGTTGCGGAGCACAGGCTCCAGACGCGCAGGCTCAGCGGCCATGGCTCACGGGCCCAGCCACTCCACGGCATGTGGGATCTTCCCGGACCGGGGCACGAACCCGTGTCCCCTGCATCGGCAGGCGGACTCTCAACCACTGCACCACCAGGGAAGCCCTACTTATTTATTTTTTTGGCTGCACCAACCAGGTCTTAGTTGTGGCATGCGGGATCTTTGTTGCAGCATGCAGACTTCTTAGTTGTGGCATGCATGTGGGATCTAGTTCCCAGACCAGGGATCGAACCCAGGCCCCCTGCATTGGGAGCACAGAGTCTTACCCACTGGACCACCAGGGAAGTCCCTGGTCTAAATATCTTGACCTCACACTCTTCACATAATTTACCTAGAAGCCAGATCAGAATTATTTCATTTCTGCCATTTACATCTCTCCTTTTAAAGCAATGCTTAAGAACCATTTCCTTTGCCAAGACAAGTCAATAGTCTTTTCAACAAATGATACTGGGACAAGTGGCTATCAACATGCAAAAGAATGAAGTTGGACTCTTCCTCACACAATATACAAAAATTAACTCAAAATGAATCGAGGATCTAAATGTAAGACCTAAAACTATGAAACTCTTCGAAGAAAACATGGATGTAAATCTTCATGACCTTGGATATAGTCAATGGTTTCTTAGATATGACACCAAAAGCATAAGCCACAAAAGAAAAAAAAAGATAAAACAGACCAAACTTCAAAGGACACCATTAAGAAATTGAAGAGACAACCCACAGAATGGGAAAAAATGTTTGCAACTCATAAGCGTTATAAGGGACTTGTACATAGAATATATAAAGAACCATTACAACTAAATATTAGAGAGAAAACTCAATTTAGAAATGGGCAATGGACCTGAAGAGACATTTCTCAAAAGGAGACTGACAAATGGCCAATATGCACATGAAAAGATGCTCAACATCATTAGCCATTAGCGAAATGCAAATCAAAACCACAATCAGATACCACTTCATACCTAACTAGGATGGCGTTAATAAAGAAGACAGACAATAACTAGAATTGGTGAGAATGTAGAGAAAATAGAACCCTCATAGACTGCTGGTAGGAATGTAAAATGGTGCAGTCCCTTGGTAAACAGTCTGGCAGTTCCTCAAATGATTAAACAGAGTTACGAAATGATCCAACAATTCCACTCCTAGGTACATGCCCAAGAGAAATAAAGACAAATGTCCATACAAAAACTTGTGCACAGATATTCACAACAGCATTATTCATTGTATCAAAAAAGTAGAAACAACTCAAATGTCCATCAACTGATGAATGAATATATAAAATGTGATATATCCATATAATTGAATATTATTTGGCAATAATAAGGAAATACTGATATACAACATACAGTATAATCTTATAAATTTATTTATTTTTATTTATTATTTTTGGCTGTGTTGGTTCTTCGTTGCTGTGCATGGGCTTTCTCTAGCT